ACCTCCTCTTCCTTATTTTAGAAAGTCCTGGGGATCAAACTCAGGATCTCTGGTATGCCAGACTGACCCTCTATCCACTGAGCTACATAGTTCCCACAGCATCCACCATGTGTAGATGCTTAAATACTTGTTAGTTCACCAATTCACCAGTTCAGAGATTGAGTTGGATTTGCCCTGACAGGTGGAGACCCATCCAAGGTCTTGCTTGGCCTATGATCACCTCCATTTTAGCAAAGGAGAGTTTATGTCAGTAGATTACATCTACAAAGGCCATCTCGTCTAGATTAAACAAAATCAGCTGCTTTATACACACAAAAACATCTTCCAAATCCTGATCACCACAAGTTAATGTAACCATGGGCATGAGGCAGGATCTGAACAATGTTCTATTTTCGGGCAGAGAGGCCAGCTGAGGATTCTGTGCAGCACCTCGTGCACAGCCCTGCTCTGAGGGAGCTCTTTCAGGGTCCTGATCTGAAAAATCAAGCAATGAAGCCAAACAACTGAGTGATGTAATGTGAAACAGGAGAGACCTCCGCTGTGTCCTTTTGCCATGCCAGAGTACACACAGCTGGGTGTAGGAGTATTCATTTGTGATCCCAGTATTTGAGAAGCTGATGCAGGAGGACTACCAAAAGTACCAGGCATCGTGATCTACATAGTGAAAACCAAGCCAGCCTGAGCTACATGGCAAGATGCTGTCTCAAAAAACAACAACAATAAAAATAACCTGTAGACTTAAGCAGAGAATCTGTGTTCACACGAGTTCATGTTACACTCACAGTGCCAGAGCTGGGACACAAGACTGCACACGTGATAGGTTAGTGCCCTACCACTGAGTACAACCCAACCCTAACAACTGAGCTTATTCTCATCATAGCTCAGGAGATACAAAATCAAAGTGTCAGCAAATTGTGTTGTTTACTTTTATTACTTTTGTTTTTCTTTATTAAATATTTTATGTGAATTTTGCAATTTTTAAAATCAAAATGTAATTAAATAATCCCCAGCTCCCTCTCAAACTCATAGCCTCTTTTAAATGAAATTTATTTTTAACTGATACAAAAACATAAAACTGTACAGAATAATGAGATATAGAAATCTACTAGCTAAAGTGTAAACATGGAAAAAATAAAGACGCCTAGAGGCATGGGAAAGCGCTTCAGTTCACGAAGACTGGGCCTCCTGCAGCCACAGAGGCTAAGTTCATTCTCATGTGTCTCTAATCTTCATTTCATAGACCCGTGTGAATACCACACCCGTGGCAAGTTACATGCAACAGATGGTTCCATAGTAAAAGCACTTATTACTTAGCAGAGGACCAAATTTTGATGCCCAGCCCCTATATGGTAGCTCATAACCATCTATCTCTCCAGTTTCAGGGATAATGATGCCCTCTTCTGACCTCTGCAAGCACCAGGCATGCATGTGATACACATGCAGACATACAGGGAAAACACGCATGCACATACAAATAAAAATAAACCTTTAAAAACATTTTAAGGTGTAGAAAGACACCCAGGCCAATCTTTGGCCTCCACACATGCACACACAGATGAGTTCACCTACACACACGCATAGACACACACACATACACACACACCATACAAATACTTAGCAGAAAGAGAAGAAGGAAGGCAAGAAGGACTCCTTTTCTGACACCCTGGGAAAAGATCTGACAAATATTCCCTGTAAGGAAGCTCAAGACACTGTTCACAGCAAGCACTTAAACTAACCCTGAAAAACTAAAGTTGTATAAGGTTGAAAGGCATCCTGGGGACAGGGCACTCACTTAACAAGACCAAGACTTAGGTTTAGCCCCCATCACTGCAACAAACACAAAAAGAGGAGCTCAATGATAGCTCAGTGAGTGAGTACCACTTGTCATGTGAGCACGGGGACCCTAGTTTGTTCTCATGTCAAAAGCTGGACATTAGTGACTGTGATAACTCTGCTGGAGAGGTAGACAGGCGAATTGCAGGGGCACAGGCAAGTTCCAAGTTCAAGGAGAGATCCTGTCTCAATAAAGAAAAGAAGAAATAATAAAGAAAGAAAGAAAAATGGAGGGAGGGAGAGATGAAGGGAGGGAGGGACAGAGAGAGGGAGGGAAAGAAAGGAGGAAGGAAAGAAGGAAGAAGGGAGGGAGAAGGGAGGGAGGAGAGGGGAGGGGAGAGGAGGCGAGGAGAGGAGAGGCGATGAGAGGAGAGGAAAGGTGAGGCAAGGAGAGGCGATGAGAGGGGAGGAGAGGCGAGGAGAGGAGAAGAGGTCTCTGGGAGTTAATGCCCGGCCTGGTTTATGGAGTAAGTTCCATGCCAGCTAGTGAGCTCCTGTCTGAAAAAAGAAAAGTGCTGGCTGCTCTTAACAAGAACCTGGATTCAGTTCCCCAAACCACATAGAGGCTCAAAATTGTCTGTAACCCCAGTTCTAAGGGATCTGACACCCAACCTGAACTCCATAGGCACTGAGCACACACAGGGTACACAGATGTCCATGCAAACAAAACACTCATATCCATATCAATAGATAATTCTTTTAATCCTGATTGTTTTTTTTAATAGTGTAGGGGAACACAAAGAGAAAGTAAATGAGAAAAACAAGCTTGGCCTGAAACAGTGACTGATGAAGTGAGCGATGAGTAAATGTAACATCATTTAGAACTACTTGAAGTTTTCCAGATAGTTATAAGTCCCTGCTCTCTAGAAGCTGGCAAAGCAGTCAGATGTCCTAACAAACAAAAGTACTACGCTATGAAAGCCTCCAGGACAGCAAGTGATCCGGGACAGATAGAGTGGAAGGTATCACTTAAGTCCCCTTTGATCAGGACCTTTACAGACATCCCAGACCAAAGTGCAGACAGGTGGGGCAGAAATGGTACCACTCCGCCCTTTGCATGACTTACTTGCAGTCACACTGGTGACACACCAGGTCACAGAGCCTGACCTTGTGTGCTGGATTCCTGTTCCTGAGTCCCAGCTGCTGGGAGACCTCAACCAAGTTCTGTACATCTCTGCTCCTCAGATTCTCTATATGAAGCAGGAACCATAGCAGTTTATACTTAAGGTGGATTGTGTCAAAAGTCAAGAAGTTAATCATTGTGCAAATGCCTACGAGACAGTTTGTGGATAAAAAATGTTACCTATCACCAATGCAACTGGCATATCTACCCAGAACAATGCCACATGTTTTGAAAACCTCAACTCATTTATTTGTTACATACTTCCTCTGTTAGACTAAAAATTTGCAGAAACTACATTTTTAAGAAAGACTTTATCAAAGAGGGAAGGGTACATGCCACAGAGCACATGTGGAGGTCAGAGGACAACTTTGGTTTTCTCTTTTCACCTTTACAGACATTCTGGACATCACAATCAGGCCATTAGGTTTACCCACTCAGCCATCTGGTCAACCCTGTAGAGACTATATTTGATTTGTCTCTATATTCCCAGAACCTAGTCTAAGTTATACCCATAGCAGAGCCTGGTGGCAACTCCCTTTCCAGGTGGCAAGGGAGAAACTAAAAACAGCCGACTCACAACCTCTTTATTACCAGTTATCTGCTCCAGTCCTGCCATTTGGGGGCTTTCCTCGTTGTTTCCATGACTGTCACCTCTAATGAAGGCCCTGCCGATGCCGGCTGAGCCCGTTCTGATCTCTGGCTCTCTAGTGTCACTGCATTTCTCTTTAGCTTTAGCATGCATGCATTTCTGTGTGTGTGTGCGTGAGCACTCACATGTGTATATGTGTATATGTGTGTGCATGCATGCATTTGTATTATTACAATTAGCTGTACCTGTAGCAAGCATAGGTACTTAGTACTGAACAGACTAGGGGGATCTTTGTGTCAATTATGATGTGTGAATGTGATGACTGCATGAACCTGTGGAATTGCTTGTGCTTTCTGTAAACTGTGCCACCTTGTGGAGTGTGGGTACATCAGCCAGGCACCCTAGATACATGTGTAGGTATCTATGGTCACAGAACTGTGCACATGTGTTATGCATGTGCCCTCAGGATGGGTATATAAAGAAGGTGTGATTTAGAAGCAGGGTCAGGAAAAGTTTGGAGGCAAGGAGAGTTTAGGGGTGTGGGTCTTCTGGAGGGCTCAGGGTTGAGGGTGGTGGGCACCCCTGGCTGCAGACTCTCAGCCTCTCCTTGTCCGCAGCACCGAGCCTACTTCCGCCTCTGGAATGCGGCGCTAGGGGGATTCCTGTCAGTGCCTGATCGTGTGGAGGACATGAAAGCAGGCCGTGTGGTGGTCTCTGAGCCCCGAGCTGGGGGCAGCTGCGTCTGGTACTATGAAGAGGGACTGCTGAAGAACCAGGTAAAGATTCCGGAACTGGTTCTGCTGAGCTCCAGGTTTGCCACCCTGCTTTGCAAAGTCTCCGCCCAGTTATATCCAAAATGCATGGAGGAAGTAGAGAATGCGGCCTCTTTTATTTTTCTCATGTTGAACCTTCCAAAACCCAGTATTTAGGGCTGGAGAAGTGACATAGCAGCTAAAAGCACTTGTTTTTGCAGAGGACCTGGGTTCAGGTCCCAGCACAAAAATGATGCCTCATAGCCACCCCTAGCTCCATTTCCAGGGGATCTGATGCCCTCTTCTGACCTCTGTGGGTACCAGGCATATATGTGGTGCACAGATTTACATTCAGGAAAAACCTTCATAAAATAAATAAATCTAAAAAGGATAAAGAGACTTACCTAGGGCTACAGTTGTAATAGCCAACATTCAAAACCAGCTTATTAGCTGGGTATGGTGGCACATGCCTTCAATCTCAGCACTCAGGAGGCAGAAGCAGTTGGATATTTGTAAGATCAAGGCCAGCCTGGTCTATATAGTAAGCTCCAGGCCAGCCAAGGCTACATAGTGAGACACTGTCTCAAAGACAAAACAAGCAACAAAAATCCAGTGTCTGAAGGACAGCTTGAGCTTGGGAGATTTCCTGTGGGGAATGCAATGTCTAATGATCTGCTGGGTCCTCAGGTGGCCCCCACCATGAGCCTACAGGTGATTGGACCTCCTAGCCCAGGCTCCAAAGTAGTACTCTGGGCCAAGAGCCGCCTACCACGCCAAACTTGGAGCATCAGTGAATTGGGTCACATCTGCAGCCAGATGTTTGAAGGCCAGATCCTCGATGTGAAGGGTAACGTAGGCTGGGGGGGGGGCACCCAAGAGGACTCGAGACAGTGCTGTCTCCGGCACCCTGACCACCTCTGAATCTCCCCCTCAGGTGGCCGAGGTTATGACCGGGACCACGTGGTGCTCTGGGAACCAAACAAGAAGAACAGGCCTTCCCAGATCTGGACTGTCTACGTACTTTGAACCAGTTCCAACCCATTTCCTGCTGGAGGCTTTTGCTGAGATGAAATGTTTTTTCTAGATCTCAGCTGTTTTCTATCACGCTGTCAGGTGTTGTCATGTCTTTGCACCCTGCCTTTGGGAGAGAGATGGTCCCCGTTACCCTTCTGACCCGCTCCAGGTTGGCTTCTCTCTTTGTACAGCCTTCCCTTGCCACCAGAGGGAGCTCCAGAACCAGACTAACTAGTGTGCCACCCAGTTCTGCCTCCCTGACTGTGGGGGCGGGGCACAACCATTAACCAAAGCCCTGTATCCCATCCCAGTGCAGGTTTCTTTCTCTCTGCCCCCCCCCTCCCGACAGGGTTTCTCTGTGTTGCTTTCCAGTGCAGGTTTCTGATGGGTGTTCCGGAACGGAAGTGGAGGTCTGTGCTACTTGAAGAAGCACCCCTAGTTGACACACACACGGGGAGGGAAGGAGTTAGCCAGGCCAAATAGAGAAAGCAGAGGAAAGTATTCTAGGAATACAGAGGAAAGTATTCTAGGAATACAGATGTGTCCATGGGTGAGAACTTCAAGGTTCAGGGTGTGAGCCCACAGTGGGCATGGCAAGAGAGATGAGGGGGTCTTCACCCAAGAAGCCTTGTCCTGGGCTCCTCCTTGCTTCTTCCAACTCTAGTCACAAAGCATGGAGGCTTGACTTTGATCCAGAAACCAGAAGGGGCTGGGTCCCTAGCTAGAGGACAGGTCAGGCTGTCAGAAGGGGCTGGGTCCCTAGCTAGGGGACAGGTCAGGCTGTCAGAAGGGGC